TACATCTTTCAATATATATATTAAAATCAGGGTTGAAAACCGGAGCAAAAATATGCTCTTTGGAGCGGTTTTGAACCGGTTTGAGTTAAAAACCGCTGCGAAAACCGAATGAATTTATGGAGTAAATTATTTGGAACTTGAGATGTGACCGATTGAAGTTTGTACGTTCCGAGAGAACGCTCTCTCGGAGCGTACAAACATCGTACAAACATCAACGGTTCGATTCGGTTTACAACCCTGATTAAAATATACATATATGTATATCTTATACCACCATTTGTCATATTTTAAATACGTCGAGAAACGGATTTTATCTGACATTTGCATATAACCAGTAAATAACAGAGCAATACAACAGTTTTAAAACATAACAGAGTTATATCGCAGTTATAAAACGAAATAAGTAACCTTGGCATTAAAAATATATAACATTTGTTATATTACGTATTACTCCTGTGTTATATAGCAGATACGTACCCTAATAGCCAAATGCTAGCAGAATACGGGCAATATGCCAGCAGATCCAAGCATGACCATCGAGCAGATTCCCGTCCTGCGTCTTTATTAAGCTTATTTTCTAGCAGCACGATATGCTGCCCACAATGTAATCGCAGAAACGCGGCAGAAACCGTGCACAACGTGCCGTCACGATCTGTTATCATATCATAATGACAGATTTCTATTTCATTTTCAACACTTATGTGTATATCTGACACGGCAGATCATGCTTTGCTATTGCAAAATTATGCCAATGTAGCATGCGGCACACAGTTTGTAAAGTCTACTTTTAGCAGATGTGGCTATCTGGGAAGTTTTGGACTCTTATTTCGAAATTTTGAGGTGTCCGGAAACCCCGGTAAAAAATTGTTTATATATTTATATAGGTGCAATTATATATAATATATATATATATAGTTATATAGAAATATACAAAATTAGGTATAATAAGCTATTATATAATTATATATAATTTTATATGTATAATATACTATGGCTGACTCCTATATATAATTATATATATAGTTAATAAGTACTCTTTTTATATACAAATTATATATAATTATATATATATATATATATATATATATATATGGGGTATTCTATGTCAACCGGACACTCCCCTCTGCCCAAAATTTGTGTCGACCGATTGAGGTCAATGAGGGCTCAAATTGTAGGTAATGATATGTAGTTTCTTGTACCGTGTGGCCTTTTTGAGAATTTAAGATGGCTATCAAGGTGTCACGATGATAATCGGAAAAAACAAGAAAAAAATCAGTAAACGACTTTCCGTATGCCACACGATCAATCAAAAAAGCTCTAAAACTATTGATGGGATGGTTTTTGAGGTCGTTGATTACGAAACTGAAGTAAAAATTCTAAAATTCAAGATGGCGGATCAAATATGGCGACCAAAACCGCAATGGCACCTTCCTATGTTCCGTAAGGCTGCTCGAATGAGCACTGCCCAGTGAACACAGTAATATAGTAGCAATGCAACGGCAATGTAACCGAATATAACAGGTTATATCAACCAGAGTGTTACATGTAACTTACATGTAAGTTACAATTTCCGACTCAGCAATATATAACATGTTACATAACGTGTTATTTAACTATTACGTAACAGTTACACCAACTGTTGTACTAGCTGTAATAATGAGCGTAAAAAATATTTTTTTTTTTTCGAGATTTTATTACCATTTTATAACTAAATTTGTTTCTTAAGATGCAGTCTATGATTATAAATATTTTCTCGTATTTAAAAAACACACTTACCTTGATGGGATTCGAACTCGGGACCTCTGGATCGTGAACTAACTGCCTTACGTGGTAGGCTACTTCTTAATTTGACGTAAGTGTTATATATAGTCTACATATGTCACAACCAGCGCAAATATATGTATAATTTTTCAAAAATTATCTTAAGAAACAAATTAAGTTTAAAAAGAGTATATAACTGCACAAATTTTTAATATTGACATTATATCTATTATATGTACATAGAAGCAGTACGTAAATGCATTCTACTAAATTGGTACATGTAATGGTAATATGCATCATGATGATTAATTACGTTATTTACCGATATGGATGGATGATTATATAAACTGATCATATAAATTATAAATATCTTGTAAATTATTAATAATTATTAATTATAAATTATGTATTTTGTAAATTATAATTTTTGCCTTAAGGCCTCTGCACTAAAGGGCCTCTGCACAATATTAAACCTTTCAAACAAAATATATATATTTAAAAACAATTGAAAATTTATGATGAAAAACGCAGATCATTATTAGCTCTAGCAAAATAAAACGATGCAGGGTTTAAAAGCCCGGGCACATAGAAAAACGTGAGCAGTAAGCAAATCAACAGTCTTATATTGTATATGTTATTCCGTTACACTCCATTAATATTATCAGAATATTACTAGTTATACTAACATTGATCCAAGCGTGTTACGTAACAATTACACAATTTTTGTTACATAACTGTAACGCCAAAAAAAATGTATAACAGTTATATTACCTGCATATAACAAATGTTAAATTGCATGTTTCTTCCATGTTATGTAGCCCTTATATATCACAAGAATAACATTGTGATATTACATGTAACTTCCATGTTATATTGCCGTTATGAAATGTGTTCACTGGGTGGTTACGAATCTGCTACCAAAATCGAAAATTCAAGCATTTTCCGACCAGTTAAAGTAAGACTAAGGTTGTCCGACCAGTTAAGGCAAGACTGAGGGACGGTCCAGCCAGTTAAGGCGAGACCAAGCGTTGTCCGACCAGTTAAAGGCCTTAAAGGGCGTTTTGAAGGGACGTACCCAACCCAAAGGGACAAAAAATTTTCTTTTTTAATTTTAGTTGCGGCACCCCCCAAAATGTTTTCAATTCACAAAAAAATAATCCTGCCAAAGTTCAGCTTGATTAAATAAAGGTGCCTTTTCATGCTGACGCTCGACGCTCATTTTCAGCAGCAAGAAGGTCGCATGACCACAATTGACGCCGGCGTCAATTGAAATTCATGAAAAGGAAAACAGCGTCAAAATTTCGGCGTCTTCGCGCTGCTTTGGCTTTGACGCTTGAAGTTGGAAAAATCCAACTTCTCTTTCTTGACGCTGGCATCATAGTGATGTCACGTGACGTCGCTCAACGCTGTTTTTCAGCGTCCCATGAATTGGCACCTTAACGGAAACCCGTGCCCCCGGTTTTTTAAACATTTGAATTTCCTTCTATTAAACTGTTTACACAATTAACATTGATTTTAAAGTGTATTTTCCACAAAAATCGACCTAGAGGATTTTTCTTTTTTATTTAACATGTGTGCCTTGCTTTTCTGCACCGTTTGAGATATATATTATATATATGTATATAAATATATAAGTAAATATAATGCTTCATGTATAATTTAACATGATTATATACAGGTTCTTATAAATAATTTATATATAAATTTATATAAATATGTATAAAAAGCAATTACAGTAGATTATATATATATGATTATATACAATCATATATAAACACACACGTGTATATTATATTACATTTTTAAATTCTAATTATCCGATATGTGGCATCTGATGGGATCTGTTTCTCATATTTAAAATTTGATAAACAGTGGTATAAAAGCGGTATAAAAAAACACAGCAGTGTCTCGCGCTAAGCTGCGCCAAGTTATATAAATCCCGGTACGGCACAACTTTTGTATCAGTTGTATTGTGGAGTCCACACTTATAATAAAGTGGGACTTCCTATATATAACTATATGTAATTATATCTAATTGTATATGGACATATTTCATATATAGTTTTGTAAAATTATATACATAATCATTTATATATGATTATATACAATATAAAAAAATTTTTACTTATGGACGGTACTGTATATATATAGAATATATTATACCGGGTGAAGAAAAAGTCTGGAACCGGTAAAATATCTCGAAAACAAGACATTTTAGAAAAAAATGTTTTATACGTAAAAGTTGTAGGGCTTCAACAAATGCATCAAACGGTGATACTTATTTGACCTTGAGCGTAAGTATGAAGAAACTTTCAAGGTCAACTTTAAAATTTTAAATGAAAACCCCCACTTTTTATTTAATATTCTTGTAGCTGACATCGAGAGCTTTTCAAAACACTATCAATAAACTTCTTTTGATTGAGTATTTCTCGAGATATGAGTTGACAAAGTTCAAGTACCGCCGGCATTAGCATTAGCTAAGGTGTACCGCGTGGAGGTTGCACGGTCGGATTTACACCTCATTGTGTGTGTGTGTGTGTGTGTGTGTGTGTGTGTGTGCGTGCGTGCGTGCGCGTGTGTGTGTGTGTGCGTGCGTGTACGCGTGTTATATCAACATATCAACGGTTATTAAACTATAAAAGCTTGAAAGAGAAAAAGCCCCTGAGCGTGGAGTTCAGCTGCTTATCGCCAGAGATGCCGACGCTTGCAAGCGTATCCCTATCAACAGCGTGTTGCCGGCGCTTGCTAGCGTATCCTTATCAACAGCGTATTGCCAGCGCTTGCTAGCGTGAGTTTATGGGGCTTCTTAAAAGATCATGATTATAAAACAAAATCTGCGAGCGTCGAAGAATTGAGAAGCAGAGAATAACTGATGAAATGAGTTTAATAACCGTTGATATGTTGATATAACGCGCACGCGCGCGCGCACACACACGCACGCGCGCGCGCCCACACACGCCCACACACGCCCACACACGCCCACACACGCCCACACACGCCCACACACACCCACACCCACACACCCCCCCCTCACACACACACACACACACACACACAATGGGGTGTAAATCCGACCGTGCAACCTTCACGCGGTACACCTTGGGTAATGCTAATGCCGGCGGTACTTGAACTTTGTCAACTCATATCTCGAAAAGTACTCAACCGAAAGAAGTTTGTTGACAGTGTTTTGAAAAGCTCTCGATGTCAGCTACAAGAATATTAAATAAAAAGTAGGGGTTTTCATTTAAAATTTTAAAATAGCTATGTAAAGGCTCTATAATTCAAAAAATTAAAACTTGATAAAGGCAATAAGAGCAAAGCGTGACGTTTAACCGCTAAAATTTATTATAAGATACATTGTTAAAATTACGAACGTTTCGACCCTTTTTGGGGTCCTCCTCAGCGCATTGTATAAATTCTACATAAATATAAGCCTATATAAGAAACCTTAACGCCGCGAACATCAAGTCATCGTTATCGTTTCGGCAGATGTGCACTCCGACACGTTCCAAAGCATCGTCGTGTAGTTTCCTGGTTAGAGCGTCAGGAAATTCGAACTGGTGTAATGTCCTTTGTCATTGCGGCTCGTTAAACGATACCTGTGGACATCCGGAGCAACATCCACCATCAAGAAAATGCATATAAGAGTCAAACAAAAAGATAAAAAACCAAACGCAACTTACAAAATTGAAGTCATTAATTAAAGTCAATTCGCAATGCTCGTCGGTCGATAACAAAACGTATGATGAGCGGAGAGGTAGATGTGTCTCAGAGAACGTTTAAACAGACAGTGACACGTTTATTCTTACAATGTTCGATGGCTTATGGAGAGGTTAAACGTCACGCTTGGCTCTTTTTGCCCGTATCAAGTTTTAATTTTTTTAAATTTTAAAGTTGACCTTGAAAGCTCCTCCATACTTACGCTCAAGGTCAAATAAGTACCACCACGTTTGATGTATTTGTTGAAGCCCTACAACTTATGTATAAAACATTTTTTTCCTAAAATGTCTTGTTTTCGAGATATTTCACCGGTTCCAGACTTTTTCCTCACCCTGTATACAAAGAAATTAAAAGATTATCTGTCTCAACGAAAGAAAACATTTCATTTTGACAAAAATCTTATTACAAATGTTTTTACTACATTTACACTGCCGGTTCTGTTTATTGTTTGCAAATGACAAAAATGTAATTCTTTAATTTTTATGCTCATTATATTACAAAATTTTTAAAATTAGTTTCAATAAAAATACCAAGGCGAGCGAACTGTAGATTTACAGTTGCATTAAGACATAATTGTGCAGCCCCAATTATCGCATCTTCGCATTTGCCTGATATGATGTAATGATAACCAAGGGCCATGGCATAAAAACTAGAACTGCAAGCTGTATCGATTGCATACGATGGTCCCTTCAAATCTAAATGGTACGAAATCATGTTTGCTATTGTAGATTTGTGACATCCAATAAGATTCAGACCACCCATCTAATTGCAGAAAGTTAGTGATTACAAATTCTCGCACATGAATGATAAATTGAATAATCTCATCTATTACACTTGTCAATTAATAATTTTCTCTACCTCAAAATCCTCAAACAAAAATTTAGCTTGCGTTTCAGAAAAGGATGCTGCTATAATCACAGCAGTATTTTTTCCTCGCAACTGCTTTGGATTGATACCGGCATCGATAATTGCCTCATAAGAATGTTCCAATAACATTCTCGTCTCTAGTCCGAGTGTGTGCGCTTCCTCGAAAGATAATCCGAAGAAATTCGCATCAAATTTATTCAAATTATCAATTATTCCCATACGACTTGGTACGTCCGGATGATCTAACAAAATATACAATTTCACACAAAGACGTTACGCTCCTTACTCATATTTTTTCATATAAAACTTCAGTTTAAAATATATTTCCTTAACATACTACTAATAATAATAATTAACACAGGTCGACTTTCGACTTTTTTTATCCTCAGATCTCAATAGTCATTTCCGAAGAATTTTAGCATGCTAAAACCAAATCTGTTGCCCGAATTGCTTTATTACGTCAAGTTTCGGAGATATCTGTACCTAAAAGTGTCAAAAAGACCATTCCAGCGAGAAATGACCCATCGAATCGACGTCTAATTGACGTCGAAAACGTATATTGAAAAGTAATTGAAATGTTCATCGATCTCGATTGAAATGTGGTACCACTTTCGATGACTTTTCAATTTAGAATAAATCGATTTTGACTCGATATTGATTATTATTTTCTCACTGCAAATATGGGCCGATTCACCGTCTCCGATTAATATGATGCTCCGATTAAACTCTTCGGCTCTTTCTAAGGCGGGGGGAGATCCATAGACTTGCAAGTTGCAAGGAGAAGACGGATGAATTGATGAGGGGGATTATT